CCCAAGAGTGCAGAAAAATCTCCCTGCCCCCCAAGTCACCCCAGAGCGCGGATTTAGCGATCCGCACTCACGGGGCGACTTGGCTATTAGTATAAGGATAGTAAAAGCAACAATTATTTAATCACAACATTTTAAGAACAATAATTACAATAATTTAATAACAACAATAATGCAGATATAATTCTTCATTGCAAATTAGCTAATCTCTTTAAGTAATTTGGTTTATCTTCCTCCTGCTTATATTGCTGCATAGAAGTGGCAACCATGTCATGCAGTGCCTCATATTTCCTCTTTTTCACCTATAGGTGACCTGCCTTTGCCTTAGCCAGTATTAGTTTGTGGCCGCCCTGAGTCTTCCTCGGCGGGGGGGAGGGGGGGATAAATAGAATAAATAAATAAATATAAATAAATAAAATAAGATCCAGCAGAGGAGGCCATGTTGGGGTCCGGGATACCAGTTATAGGGGAGCATGGGAGGTATGCCAGTGGGACAAGGTGGAAAATGCTTGGTCTCCTTCCCACCTGTGTATTGAGGGATGTTGGTTGTGGGGCTAGGAATATATACCCTTCTCCAACACAGGTGGTGTGCAATGCCAGGTCTATTAATAAGGTCTATTAATAACAAGACCTCTGTTCTACAGGATTATCTGGCAGAGCAAATTGTAGACCTGGCATGCATGACCGAGACCTGGGTAAGGGAAGGCAATACTGTTGTCTGTCGCCCTGAACCAACTCTCCCCGCCCCCGGTTTCTTGGTCCTCCAGCAGTCTCAGACTATTGGACAGGGAGGTATGGCACTGCTCATCTGGGAGTCTTTCTTCTTCAGGGCGCTCCCCGCACCAAAAATTTCTGGCACTGAAGGTGTTGGCTTAGTGTGGGATGCCGAGGAGAGTCTGGCTATCTGACTGGTTTACTGACCGCCTAACACACCAGCAGATACCCTGTGGGGCTTGTTGGAGGTCGTATCAGGTTGGGTGCTGGAACACCTCAGGCTAGTGGTCCTGGGAGATTTCAGTGTCCATGTTGATGATGTGGCTTCCTCTCAGACCAGGGACTTTGTGTTATCCATGGCGACACTGAAACTCTCCCAGTTTGCTTTGGCTCCCACACATCAAGCTGGCCACACACTGGATCTTATTTTTGGCGTGGGGATAAATATGAATCTGGAAACTGCTGATGCAGTGCCATGGCCAGACCATTTCGCCCTGAAGGCCCCGCTGAGTATGCCTAACTTTCCCTGTTTAGGCAGTGAGCAAATTTATGTTCACCCACAAAGACTAATGGAACGCAGTAGGTTCCAGAATGCTCTGCGGTATCCAGTGTCCCCTGGTGATTTGTTGGATGAGCTGGTGGAGGACTGGCATGGCCAGCTCTCCAAAACCATAGACAAAATTGCCCCCCGGTGTCCTCTCTACTCTCATGCCAAACTAGCTCCTTTGGTACACCCCAAAGCTACGAAGGATGAAGGAAGAACTGAGACGACAGGAGTGAGGGTGGCTGCATGCCTCTGATGAAGCTACAAGACCATCTTATAGGACGTTTATATGAGATGACAGTAAAGACTGCTCAGAAGGATTTCTATATGGCCTTCATGCCATCTGCTAGATCTTGCCCGACCCAGTTATTTAGGACAATTTGGTCTTTAACTTCTTTGCCACAGGACAAACAAAATGATAAGGAATTGGATATTGGCTGTGAGGCATTTGCCAGCCTTTTTGCAGACAAAGCCTTGTCACTCTGCTAGGACCTCCCTGCCACAATTGATAGAGTAAGGGAACTGGAATCCCCTTGTCCATCTTTTAGTCCAATTTTGGACCACTTCAGCCAGCTCTCCCAGGAAGAGGCTGACAAGATCTTGGCAGCTGTAAAGCCCACCACTCGCCTCTTTGACCCATGCCCATCTTAGCTGGTCAAGGCATGTGGAGATGGTGTTTAGGCCCCTCTGGGAAATATAATCCATCTATACCTGTCTTCAGGGATATTCCCAGTGGGCCTGAAAGAGGCAATGGTGCATCCACTGTTGAAAAAAATCACTGGACCCTGCAGTCCTTGCCAACTATTGCCCAGTACTGAACCTTCCATTCCTGGGTAAGGTAGTTGAGAGAGTGGTGGCTGAATAGCTCCAGGTTTTCTTGCATGATGCCTCTATCATGGATTCATTCCAGTGTGGTTTCTCCCTGGCCATGGGATGGAGACCACATTAGTCACTCTCACAGATGACCTCATGAAATACCTCGATCGAGGTGGGTCAGTGCTGCTTTTGTTTCTTGATCTTAAATCAGTGTTCAACATAGTCAATTATGATCTTCTGATCCACTGCCTCGCCAATGTAGGGATACAGGGGATCACTTTACAATGGATCTTCTCCTTTCTTCATGATTGGGGACAGAGGATGGCACTCAGAGAGAGGATTTTGCCATGATATCTGCTGGAGTGTGGTGTGCCACAATGGGCTATCCTCTTTCTGATGTTTAACATCTATATGCACTGCGTCATCCAGCTGGTGTGGTGGTTTGGGCTGGTTTGTCACTAGTATGCTGATAACACCCAGCTCTATCTGTTGATGGACAGCCAACCGGACTCCACCCCAGATGTTTTGGACAGGGCACTGGAGGCTATGGCTGGATGGCTATGGCAGAGCTGGCTGAAATTAAATCCAGTGAAGATGGAGGTCCTGCACCCGAGCCGTGGGGGTCTGGGGATCTAGAATTAATCTCTTGACCCTCGGTGGGGCACTGTTGAAGCCAGTGCTAAGGGTGAGGAGCCTAGGGGTGATCCTGGATGCCTTTTTTCATAGAACTGGCAGTGGGCACTAGAAGCAGGTCTGAACCCCAATATGTAATCCACAGTCTACCCAATTTATATTCTGATATTATCTCTCACCCTCAAGCCTACCTACCTCCTACCCTACTAATAAATACTAATAGCACCACCTAAATTGATCAATTAAAATATCACAATTAATCCAGTTAATCAATTTATAAAAATTCATTTTCCTGATTAAAAAACATCAATTTATAGCAGGGATAAACAATAAATTACAGCCCCATAAACCCTGTAAATAAATTACAACCCGATAAACAATAAATTACAACCCAAGAACATTGTAGATATTGCACATAAGTGTGAAATTTATGGGCTGGGCTACTTGTTCCCATGTGAGTTTTTTAGGAAATAAGTTCCACTGAGTGCAATAGAAGATTTCCAAGTAAGTGTACATCAGATACAGTTTTACAGTGCAATCCTATGCAAAATTATTCCAATCTAATTTCATTGCTTTCATTGGGTTTAAACGAATAAATTTACTAGACTAAACAGAATCCACCAAGAGTGTACCTCTCCTAACTCAACGACGTGTTTTTTCCTCTTCCACTGTAGTTGCTGGCTTTTCTGCAAGGGCTGTTCACATTCTACCATCACGGCTATGAACTTGCAAAGGATTTCAGTGATTTCAAGACAGAGCTGACAATCAGCATACAAAACGTAAGCCTTATGTGGAAACATTTTTTGTAGACAGAAATACCATGATAGCAGTGGTTTAGTTTTACAAAATGCATGTTTTGCTGTATACCAGTTCATTTTTCAGCATCACCCATCCTTCCTTTGCAAATTTCCCCCTCAGCATTTCTAGCCACGGGATCCTACCTAATATTTTTCTGAGTTTTTTGAAATCAGCTTTCCTGAAGTCTAGGATACGAGTCCTACTATGTCCTGGTTTCACATCCTTCTCTATGTCAAATTCCAGGCTGACATGGTCACTATTCCCCAAGAATCCCACAACGTTCACTTCATCAACCAATTCTTCCCTGTTCGTCAGGATTAAATCTAGGATAGCAGATCCTCTGGTTCCCACCTCCACCTTCTGAGAGATGAAGTTGTCCGCAAGACTATTCAAGAATCTGCGGGATGCCCCATGTCTAGCAGAGTTAGATTTCCAGCAAATATCTGGATGGTTGATATCTCCCATAACCACTACATCCTGTCTCTGTGAAAGTTTAGCAAGCTGTTGTACAAATATATTATCCAGTTCCTCCAGTTGGTTCGGAGGTCTGTAGTATACCCCCACAACAGTAGCCCCTTCTTTTTTCCCTCGCTCTATCCTTACCCACACACTTTCAACAGGGCAACTCTCGAAATCCTGAATTTCAGTACAAGTGTATTCATTCTTGACATATAGTGCCACCCCACCTCCTTTTTTGTTTATTCTGTTCCTTCAATCGCTGTGCTCCATATATGAGACTCATCCCACCAAGTCTCAGTGATACCTATCAGATCATACTTACTTTCCAATATTTGAAGTTCAAGTTCCTCCTGTTTGTTTTCCATACTCTGTGCATTAGTATAAAGACGTTTCAGATTACAGACATCCTTTCGTACTATAGGTCCCTTCAAATTTACCTGAAAATTACTGAACTCATCTCTCTCCTGTTCATTTATTCTCTGGTCACTCCCCTTCTTGATCTTAGTGTTGG